CAAGTGAAAGGAGAGAGAGCCTCCATTTTTTTTTCAACAAAAACATTGAGTGTATTTTAGTTGATTTTTTATTTATTTTTACTTTTAAATAAAAAAATACGAACGAAAAAATATACTTACAATGTTGAATAAGACGATACTATATTATATCAACAATCAAATTTATTATTTTAAAAAATTAACTTCGTTTATAAATAAGTTCACGAAACAAATATAAATTCATTACTAAAAATGAGTACTACGTAAATTATATCATTTATCATCATACTAAATAGAATTAGAGTACATCAAATAGATATAGTTAATTAATTATGTCACTATGATTATATGTTTGTATAAAAAATACTTAATACTTATTTAATATATTGTAATAACATTTGAGATCAATTTTTTTAATGCAAATTTTAATAACTACATAAATTTTTTATGATAAATTTCCATAAAATAAGGTTAAATTCTTTACATAATCATAAAAAAAAAAAATTATTTTATTATCTTATTACTTTATGCTATTATTTTATGAATCTAATGTTGAAAATTTTGATAATTTACAACTATTTAATAATTATCTAACATAAGAAACAATATAACAGTCGTAAATATATATAATTATGAAATTATCAAAATCATAAAAGCTAGTTAATACATTTATAACTGAAAAATAAATTATAATGAAATAAATAAGAAAACATAAGGTCATTATTTTCGTAAATTTTTTTTTACTGCATTAGTAAATTTCGGAGGTAAAAATAAAAGGTAAAAAAAATTGACTCCGGCTAAACTCAGTTTGGGAATCCAAATCACACCTCACTGTATCCCGCGACTTCAGGAGTCAGACAACTCAAAGTGACAAACGCTGTATTTAACTACCATAACGTCATCCATCTTATCTCAAAAAAGCCCATCTATTTCCTCATATTTACAATTCCACCCCTGTTAATTACATTATTTATTCAATTTCACTTTTTTTTTTTTAATAAAAAAAAAAGTATTTTTATTTTTTTGTGGGTTAAATTAAAAAGGGTGGTTCCTTTTCTTTTCTTTTTTTTTTTTTAAAATAAATTTATTTAATTTTTATGGATAATGTAAGATGCATTAATTAAAAGTTTTGTATACTATGTATCTTTTTTGTAGTTGGAATTTATACCATGTATCTTGGTATCACATGTTATAATAAAACTTTTGCTGTAAAGACCAAAACGGTCACGTTTTCCTCCTACTTTTCTGTACCGGTTAATCCAACATTATCCAAAAACCGATAAGGGCAAAAAAAAAAAATTAATTAAAAAATTCAAATTAAGCAAGAAAATTATGATCTACTCAGCATGAGTAATATCCTACGTGTAATTTCACTTTTCCCCGTCTGTTATCTTCCACAGCAATTTTCGTTGTAATATATTATTAATAATTAATAATTATTTCCATTTATTCCTGATTTTCTGATTTTCCTTCGACTGTTTGGGAAATGAAGAAAACGAAATAGGAAAAGAAAGATTAACTGCATTTTAAATTCCATTGAGTTCGCTCTCCTTAGTTTTTTTGGTGGGGTACCTGTGTCCCTACCGTCTGATGGGTATACTGAATTTCCGGTGATTAATTCAAACACCATCTAACGGTTGAAACTTGAGATTGTCCTATTACTTTTTTATTCATTTATTATTTTATATTTGAAATATTATCCGTATAAAATTATTAAAAATATATATATAATTTAAAGAAAATCAGCTGTTCTTGATTCGCAATTAAGATATTACTTTTTGACAGCTCAACAGTTGATGATCCCAGTTGAGAAATGGGTAATGGGTACAGTACACCAATCTCCTTCTATATATACACTTGCCATGCCTGTGCTAACCTCTATCTTCTGCATTAAACTCTCGTCTTCTTCATTTCCTCCCTCTGCATTATATATATACATATAATATATCTTCCATTTTGCCACATATAGTTGTTTTCTGCTAGCCTTCCTTTTTGATTTTCCCACTGCCCAAAGAGAAGAAAGAAAGAAAGAAAGAAAAAAAAAAATGCCTGCACCAGGAGGAATTGCGCCGGCTGAGCCCGGCAGGGAATACCCCGGTAATCTTACCCCATTCGTCACTGTAACATGTATCGTCGCCGCCATGGGTGGACTGATCTTTGGCTACGATATTGGGATCTCAGGTATATACATATATGAACATATTGTTATATATCGCTTGCTATATTTCATGCATTTTTTGTTGATGAAAATGGTTTTGATGGTTGTTGACCGTTGACTAAACCAGGGGGAGTGACGTCAATGAACTCGTTTCTGAAGGAATTTTTCCCGGCGGTTTTCCGGAAAAAGGAAGAAGTATCGTCGACTAACCAGTACTGTCAGTACGACAGTCCGACACTTACGTTGTTTACATCATCGCTGTATCTGGCGGCGCTTGTGGCGTCGCTGGTTGCGGCGACGGTGACAAGAAAGTTCGGTCGGAAACTGTCGATGCTGTTTGGGCGGCGTCCTGTTCTGCGCCGGTGCCATCATTAATGGCTTCGCTAAAGCTGTTTGGATGTTGATTCTCGGCAGAATTTTGTTGGGTTTTGGCATCGGTTTTGCCAATCAGGTATTCTTTGTTTTAATTCTAGTAATTTGCAAAATTTTGTTAACACAAGTTTTTTTATTTTTGGTTTTTTTTGGGTTCGGAGAATAAAACATTACATATGAATTTTGGTGTCAGATTTTTGTCTGTTTGGTGTTTTTGTTCTCTGAGAAACTCCTTTTTCCTCAGATCTGGTTTCTGTAACGCCTTTTTTTTTTTTAACTTTACAAAGTGACAACTTGATACTTTTTGTCCCACCTTTTTGATTTCCTCTTCTGATTATGATATGGGTTCCCTGTTCATTTGCAAGTTTTGAAAAGATTAGTCTTTGATTTATGCTTTTGGAGATCTGAAAGTAAGGATAATGATGATAATATTGTTATAATAATGTTTTGTTTGGCTAGCGAGAAAAGGGAGGAAAGGAAAGGAAAGGAAAGGAAATCCATCAAGTTTTTTTTCTTTAAAAAAAAAAAAAAAAACTCCATTTTCTCAACAGCCAAACAAATGGGTGTTAAAACTTAATTCCTTTTTTTAATTTCCGAGTTGGAGAAAGGGAAATTTTGTGTCTCTCTGCAATTATATAATTGCATAGAAACAAAAAGAGGCAAAGAATAATTTGAGATGGAGAA